TTTAAATTTTTATAGCATTTCATCAATTTTCGATTGTTTTTCTTGGATTTTCTGTAGTTTTCCCAAGCATTTCTTTAGTTTGCCTTAGCTCTTCTTTGGTTTTCTTCAGCTTTTCCATAGTTTTCCTTCGCTTTCCTTAGCCTTTCCTTAGCATTTCTTTAGTTGTCCTTAGCTTTATTTTATTTTCAATGAACTTTTCCTTAGTCTTCGTTTACTTTTCCTTAGTTTTTTTTCTGTCGCTATCCTTAGCGTTTTCTTACTGTTCTGAGCTTTTCGTTAGTGTTATTTAGCTTTCTATTGCTTTTCCTTAGTTTCCTTACAATTTCTACAGTTTTCCTTACGTTCCTTTTTTTCCTGATCAGGCCCTGCCTTTTTTTTTCCGTGGGTGTCGGGTGCTAAGATAACGCCTCGGTGCGGGGCGCCCGGGATACCCTGGGATGGACTACCCCATACGACGGCCGAAAAAGATCAATTTCTCAAAGGGGTTTCAAATAGAAATCGCAATGAGAAGAAGAGGAGGAGAAGGAGGAGGAGGAGGAGAACACATCCAAGACGGCCCCTGAGGTGACCGAAGAGGCCAATTCCTTTTCAGGACTCTACGCCTTTCCTCGGTCGCAATGAACTTTTCCTTAGTCTTCGTTTACTTTTCCTTAGTTTTTTTCTGTCGCTATCCTTAGCGTTTTCTTACTGTTCTGAGCTTTTCGTTAGTGTTATTTAGCTTTCCATTGCTTTTCCTTAGTTTCCTTACAATTTCTACAGTTTTCCTTACGTTCCTTTTTTTCCTGATCAGGCCCTGCCTTTTTTTTCCGTGGGTGTCGGGTGCTAAGATAACGCCTCGGTGCGGGGCGCCCGGGATACCCTGGGATGGACTACCCCATACGACGGCCGAAAAAAAAACAATTTCTCAAAGGGGTTTCAAATAGAAAACGCTACGAGAAGAAGAGGCCGACGAGGAGGAGGAGAGGAGGAGGAGGAGGAGGGAGGAGGAGGAGGAGGAGGAGGAGAGTTCAAGACGGTCCCCAGGGCCTCCAACAAAATCATTCCAAGACGGTCCCTGAGCTTATCGAAGAGGCCAAGACGGGTCAGAATTTCTAGCGTCCCTGAGTACCACAATGCAGTAGAGCATGCTTACTTTCTCCGTACCCGTATTGGCTTCCTCGTCAGGCTCAAGGTCCAGGCTTCGGCGTTCAGTCGCCGACCGCGCCAATCGCAAGTCCGTGGCGTTCAGCACTGTTTCGCTGTTCCGATCAGCTCATGGAAGCTCTCTTCGGTTGCCTACTACTTTGGTCAGCCTCCTGCGCCGTCTTCGGCTTCGTCGCAGGGTGGGGCTGCAGCAGGCGGGTCAGGATTGCGTCGTCAGGATCATCCCCCAAGGTCCTGGGAAAGGACCAGCAGGCGGTCAGCGATCCTCCACGCGCAGAGCAGGCGGTCAGCGATGCTCCGCGGGCTGTTCTCAGGAGTCAGGCGGGGCGTCACGTTCAGTTTGTGTTCCACACGACCGCCGAGCGCACGATGGTGCACGCCTCAGCCGATTGCCCCAGGCTGAGGTCAGCGTCGAAGCAAGTGGTCAGGCGGGAGGTGTGCTCCCACTGTTTCCCCGACAAGCGTCAGCAGTGAGGCGCCGGTTGTCAGGCGATTCTGTGTTTTGTGGTCATCTTCCAATTTTCAAGCGCGCTCCTCAGCTACGTAAATGTTATCAGATCACTCATCAATGGTTGTGTTTCTTTCTTCTCGTTATTCAGATGGCCATGGCCATCTGAATATCTCTTTCGGCCGTCTTGGAGCTCTCTGGGGGGCCCCATTGAAGCCACTTGGCGGCCCTCTGGGGGGCCCTCTTGGAGCCTCTTGGGAGGGCCCACCGAGCCCTCGGAGGGCCCCAAAAAGAGGCCCAAGAGATATTCAGATGGCCATGTCGATCTGAATATATTTTTCGGCCGTCTTGGAGCCTTCTGGGGGCCCCCATTGGAGCCACTGGGCGGCCCTCTTGGGGCCTTCCTGGAGCTCCTTGGGAGGGCCCACCGATCCCTCGGAGGGCCCCAAAAAGAGACCCAGAGATATTCAGATGACCATGGCCATATGAATATCTCTTTCGGCCGTCTTGGAGCCCTCTGGGGGCCCGTTTGGAGCCACTTGGCGGCCCTCTTGGGGCGCTCCTGGACACTTGGCGGCCCTCTTGGGGCGCTCCTGGAGCCTCTTGGGATGGCCCACCGAGCCCCCGGAGGGCACCAAAAAAGGGCCCAAGAGATATTCAGATGGCCATGTCGATCTGAATATCTTTTTCGGCCGTCTTGGAGCCCTCTGGGGGCCCGTTTGGAGCCACTTGGCGGCCCTCTTGGGGCGCTACTGTTTCCCCGACAAGCGTCAGCAGTGAGGCGCCGGTTGTCAGGCGATTCTGTGTTTTGTGGTCATCTTCCAATTTTCAAGCGCGCTCCTCAGCTACGTAAATGTTATCAGATCACTCATCAATGGTTGTGTTTCTTTCTTCTCGTAATCCTCCAGCTTTCCTGAGGCCCCTCGTTCTTCCTCCAGCAACGAGTCCAGCAGTGCCAGTGCGCTCCGTGCCAGCACAATGCCATGCGTCTTGCAAGTTGCCAGTCCGATTCGGTGTTGTCAGTCCAATAAGGTTGTCTGGTGCCAATTCTTTCCTCGACGCTCACAGGGGCGGGGGGGCCTTCCTATTGTTTCGCAAGGAGCTGGGGCAACAGATCGTGGAGGATAGGTCCTAAAAAAACATATGATGTTCAAAAATACAACATTGAAACCTTCAAAAACACATTGGAATTTCAATGATTCGGTACCCTGATTCTCAGAGAATGGCTGTTTCACTTGAGGCGTCCTCCCAAAATCGAGCCCCGACGTGCCCTGTGGTACTCCAGACGCCGCCTCGGAGCCTTCTGGGGGCCTCCTGGAACATCCTAAGGCTTTTTGGGGCCTCCTGGGGCTTTCTGGGGCTTCCTGGAGCCTCTTAGGGCCTCTGGGGGCCTCCTGGAGTCTCCTGGGGCGCCCTGAGGCCGCCTCGGGTTTCCTGGGGCCTCCTGGGGCTTCAGAGGCAGATTCAGTTCCATACATGCATTTCCTCAGTCACTTCAGCAGAGAGTGCTCAGCGTCTCCGTAGCCATTGTGGCTCAGCAGGCCTCAGGCGGTTCAAGGGATGGAGCGATTCCTACTGCCAGGGGCCAGGCTCAGGCCCAAGGCGCCGCCTCAGCCTCGGCGGGGGCGGGGGCGACCCTCCAACGCCAGCAGGCGTCAGGAGGAGGAGGCGTCAGGTCCGCCAGCGGCGTCAGGCCCGGCAGCAGCAGTCGGCCCAGATCAGGCGCTCCCCCTTCAGCCAGAGCAGCTCAGCGCTCGGAGGGCTCGCAGGAGGAGCAGGCCGCCCCAGGCGCCCTCAGCCGATCCTCAGGCACTGGAGGCATGTGGAGAAGCTCTCAGGCCGACCAGGGTCAGGAGAACAGACAGCGTCCACAAGCGGCTCATGGAACTTCAGATGAGCAGTATGAGTCAGCAGTTCGCCGATCTCCAGGCCGAGGTCAGACGCCTCCAGGGGGCCCCCGAGGAGGAGGTGGTTCAGCAACGAGCAGCGACGCTCAGGGCCCATCAACAGGAGGCTGAGCGGCTCAGGGACAGGGCTGCGAGCCGCGGGAACAGTTCTCAGGAGTGGGGTGCGCTCGGAGCGCAGTACGGTTCTCTCGGAGCAGTCTCAGGTCGCGCTGGAGCAGAGTATGGTATTCTAGGGGCCGCTTCAGGACCCCAGTATGGTATTCTCGGCGCGGCTGCAGGTGGGGCTGCAGGAGTTGCCGGTGGCGCTGCTGGAGCCGATGCAGGTTCCGCTTCCGCAGCCGCAGCCTCAGAGGCGCAGGTGGATCAGTGGCGCAGGGCAGGGTTTTTAGGCAAGGCTGCAGGAGAGAAGGGCAGGATGTACGGCAGGTGCGGCGGCAGGCCTCAGAAACAGACGGATGAGATGGCAGAGGATCTCCCCGACGCCGTCAACAGGGTCCTCAGGACTCAGGACCACCAGAAGTTGCCTCTGCTCGGGCACAAACTCAAGGCCGCTCAGTTCATTGAGGACCAGCTCAGGAAAATAGGATTCGTGCAGAATAAGGATGGCTCTGAGAAGCCGTCAGAGGAGCAGTGGAAGAGCATCAGGCCTATCTTCGGCAAAGGCCCGCGGCGCACTGAAGGGGGCAGGGCGGTGCTGGGGGGAGGGGCTCTGACAACGCAGGGTGCCCACTAGCTGATCCTTTGCTTGTCCCTTAGCATTTCTTTAGCTTTCCGCTGGCTTTCTCTGCTTTGTCATATTTTTTAAGCTTTTCTCAGCTTTTCTTAGCTTTTCGTAGCTTTTCGGATTGTTCCTAGCTTGCTCAGTTTTGTTTTTTAGCTTTTCCTTAGCTTTGTATACATTTTTTATGCTGGTCCAGCTTTTCTTTAGCTTTTCTTTAGCTTTGTTTAGCTTTTCCTTAGCTTTTCTGTAGCTTTTCTTGGTTTGTTTTAGCTTTCTCAGTTTTTTCTTAGCTTTTCCTTAGCTTTTTCTTAGCTCTTTGTACACTTTTCTAGCGTTTCTTTAGCTTTTCCTTAGCTGTTGTTCAACGTTTCCTTAGCTTTTTTTAGATTTCCCGTAGCTTTTCTTTAGCTTTTCTTAGTTTTTCATTGCTTTCTCAGTCTTTTTCTTCGCTTTTCCTTAGCTTTTGTTACACTTTCTTTCAAATTTTCCAGCTGTTCCTCAGCTTTGCTTTAGCTCTTACTTTGTTTTTGTAGCTTTTCCTTAGCTTTTCTTTAGCTTTTCCTTAGCTTTCTTCACCTTTTCGGTAGATTTCCCTTACCTTTCTTGCACATCTGTAGCTTTTCTTTAGCTTTTCCTTAGCTTTTCTTCAGCTTTTCCTTACCTTTGTCTTAGCTTGCTTATTGTTTCCAGGCTTAGGGCAATTCCTTGGGAGCTGGGGCACCCTGCTGTCTATGGCCCCACCCCCTCGCCCCTCTGCACCTTTCGGCGCGCCGCCGACAAGGCGTGAAGACCAGGCAGCTCGTCAGGATCTGGGAGGCGAAGTCAACCGTTCAGGCCGCCCTGGAGAAGCTCCGCCTCGGTAAGAGCGGCGGCGTGTTCAGCAGGCGCCGCAGGAAGCAGGGCGTCGCCGGTTCAGCCAACAACAAGGGCGCCAGGCTGATTCAGCGCAACATCAGGGACGATCCTTCGGCGAAGAAGAAGCCAGGTAAGCGGAGTCTCCTCAGGCCGGTGTTTGATGAGGTGTACAAGCAGTTCTTGCTCTGGCGTAAGGGTGGTCAGTACGTCGACTTATCAGATCTCTACTTGGAGTACTGCCATCAGTCGGAGACGATGAGGAAGTCCTTGGAGGCTCAGAGGAACTCAGAAGGTTGGCTACCCTCTAAGCAGCAGGCGCTCATTGATGAGATCGATAAGCGCGCAGCAGCTCATGAGAAGTCAGAGTACATGGCAGGCTACACCGCGGAGTTCATTAAGGACACGTACGGCATCAGGCTGTACAAACCTCAGCGTCTGTTGTCCATCAGCTTGGAGGAGGAGGAGAGGCGAGCTCTTCATGGTTGGTGGAGTTTCGACGAGGCACTGAGGGTGGCCTGCATCAGCCCTGTCGAGCAGCTCGAGGACCTCGTCGCAGACCCGAAGAGCTTCAGGGACGGCGTCCAGGACCTCGTAATCTTCATGTCGGATCAGGTACCCATGTGGCTCAAGATCAGCCCTGGCAAGCAACTGTACGCAGCTGGGGAGGTTCAGAACGAAAGCCAGGGCACACGCAAGGCCACATCTTGTCAGGCACCTCGGGCGGAGTTGTTGAACGATGCTCAGGACGAGGAGAATGATGAGGACGACAATGAGGGCATGACGCAGCTAAGAGGCGAACAATCAGCTGACCAGGATAAGTTCAGGATCACCGTCGATCTTGAGCAGAGAGTGTACGGCTGGTGCTCAGAGTCATCAGATCCTCAGTTTCAATGGGGTACGACGTCAGTTGTGTTCACAGGCGCGCACTGCAGGCTCAGCAACATTTCAGAGGACGGCAAGTGGATAGAGACTGAGAAGTTTGTCGTAGACGGCAAGGAGATCGTCAGGCTAGCTGGGAGGCCAGTGCCAGAGAACTTCGCTCAGTCCCTGAGATCGCTGAGGCTTGGGACTGGTCAGAAACCGCTCTGGCACTCGCAGTGCGCGAGCGGGAGCAGCTTCGCGAGGAAGGGGGAGCGGGGGCTCGCTTTCTTGGGATTTCTTCAGCTTTTCTTTGGTTTCCATCAGTTTTTCTTTGGTTTCCCGTAGCTTTTTCAATAGTTTTCCTTAGCTTTTTTTGTAGTTTTCCTGGGTTCTCCTCAGCTTTTCTTTATTTTTCCTCACCTGTTCCATAATTTTCTTTGGATTTTCTTAGTTTTCTGTAGCTTTTCCTTTGTTTTGTATGCTTTTCCTCAGCTTGTCTTTAGTTTTCTTCAGCTTTTCCTTAGTTTTCCTCAGCATTTCCTTCGTCCTCCTCAGCTTTTCCTTGGTTTCCCTCAGTTTTTCTTTGGTTTCCCGTAGCTTTTTCAATAATTTTCCTTAGCTTGTTTGTAGTTTTCCTGGGTTCTCCTCAGCTTTTCTTTATTTTTCTTCACCTGTTCCATAGTTTTCTTTGGATTTTCTTAGTTTTCTTTAGCTTTTCCTTTGTTTTGTATGCTTTTCCTCAGCTTTTCTTTAGTTATCTTCATCTTTTCCTTAGTTTTCCGTAGCTTTTCCTTCGTCCTCCTCAGCTTTCCCTTGGTTTCCATTAGTTTTTCTGTGGTTTCCCGTAGCTTTTTCAATAGTTTTCCTTAGCTTTTTGTGTAGTCTTCCTGGGTTCTCTCAGCTTTTCTGTATTTGTCGTCACCTGTTCCATAGTTTTCCTTGGATTTTCTTAGTTTTCTTTAGCTTTTCCTTTGTATTGTATGCTTTTCCTCAGCTTTTCTTTAGTTATCTTCAGCTTTTCCTTAGTTTTCCTTAGTTGTTCATAGCTTTTCTTTTATTTTCCTTAACTTTTCCTTAGTTGTCGCTCGCCTTTGCTTCGCTTGCCTTAGTCCTCCCCTTTTTTTACGAATGGCGGGTGCTAAGATAACGCCTCGGTGCGGGGCGCCCGGGATACCCTGGGATGGACTACCCCATACGACGGCCGAAAAAGATCAATTTCTCAAAGGGGTTTCAAATAGAAATCGCAATGAGAAGAAGAGGAGGAGAAGGAGGAGGAGGAGGAGAACACATCCAAGACGGCCCCTGAGGTGACCGAAGAGGCCAATTCCTTTTCAGGACTCTACGCCTTTCCTCGGTCGCAATGAACTTTTCCTTAGTCTTCGTTTACTTTTCCTTAGTTTTTTTTTCTGTCGCTATCCTTAGCGTTTTCTTACTGTTCTGAGCTTTTCGTTAGTGTTATTTAGCTTTCCATTGCTTTTCCTTAGTTTCCTTACAATTTCTACAGTTTTCCTTACGTTCCTTTTTTTCCTGATCAGGCCCTGCCTTTTTTTTCCGTGGGTGTCGGGTGCTAAGATAACGCCTCGGTGCGGGGCGCCCGGGATACCCTGGGATGGACTACCCCATACGACGGCCGAAAAAAAAACAATTTCTCAAAGGGGTTTGAAATAGAAAACGCTACGAGAAGAAGAGGCCGACGAGGAGGAGGAGAGGAGGAGGAGGAGGAGGGAGGAGGAGGAGGAGGAGGAGAGAGCACGCTGCTCCCGCTCGCGCGCTGTGAATGCAGCGGCGGCTCAGTTCCGACAGGGCTGACAACAAGGACCTCTTCAGGCGCCTGAGCGAGCTGGGCGTGGAGATAGCCGACAAGCCTCCCTGCCGCTTTCCGCCGTCCCCCTTATCGGTGTTTCGGGGGAGGAGGAGGAACAGTACGAGTATCATCAGTAGTAGAATTAGGATGACTGAGGAGGAGGGAGTTCGGGTGGAGAATCAGGCGTCGGCCTCGAAGCATCTTCTGCCCCAGCGGGGAGGCGCGGATATCAGCAACCAGCAGGATTCGAAGACTCAATCATCACGTGCTGGAAAATTCAGCATCAGGCGAAATCAGCCAGTTGCAGCATCGGCCTCAGAGACATGTTCGCGGGCGCTCTGTCCGACTCAGCACTCTCCGCGTCAGCGGCTTTCGGTCAGCTTCCTGTTTTCATCAGGGGTAAGATGACGGCGGCGGTGCAGGTGACAGACACAGACATAGCTTTCAGGTTGAAGGCCAAGGTGAGGCGGAAGCAGCTTCACTTGAGGAAAGAGTTGGCCAGGCTGGCTCAGATGGAGGGGACCAGAGCAGTTTTTAAGTGCGGCACGTATGAGGTCCTCAGGACTTTAGCTGAGGCCATTGAGGACTTGAAGAGTGACTTTCAGGCGGATCAGACGCTCAAGAAGGCGTGCGTCAGGAATCTGTGGACAGTTTTGAGGCCTAAGCCCACCTCAGGCCGGTTCGAGCAGGCTAGCGAGGAGAAGTGGTTTCAGGACGCTCAGTTGAAGCTCGGCACGCACCGTCTGCGAAGCAGCTGGGTTGAGAAGAGGTTTCAGAACCTGGATGATCAGGGACTTCCTAAGGACGTGCCGCCGATTGGTGAGAAGGATAAGGAGACCATGGGTCAGGCCTGCACCAACGATCAGCCAGGAGACCTCAGCAGCCTCGCGACATGGGAGGCCATGGCGCAATCAGGCGAGCTCAGTAAAGAGGCGCTTGTAGAGCTGCAGCGTCAGCCGTGGCTGTCCATGGAAGTCAGCGAGGTTGAGATGTTCGAGAACGCATCTGAGGCCAGAGAGCTGCTGAGAACGCCTAAGGAGAGGAGGAAAGCTCTAGGATTGGATCAGTACTTGACGACTCAGAAAGCAAATCCTGGGAGATTGAAAAAAAGGCGCGTGAATCGTCAGGCGAGGGCCGAGGCCAGGACAGCGGCGAGGAAGCTGACTCTCCATGGCATCAGAAAGCACAAGTCTGAGGGCTACTCGACGGCTCAGGCGTTCCAGATGTTAGTGACCCCGAAGACAGGCAACAGGAGCGCCCCGAAGCCTAAGATGACGGCTCAGGCGATTAAGAAGCAGCGGTTGCAGAAGTCTCTCCATGCGAAAGCCGCTAAGGCGAGGGAGAAGAAGGCAGCTCAGACGGCGGCCGCTGAGGACGAGGAGGCGGCTAAGCAAGCGAGCCTTGAGGAGGCCTGGCAGGACTCGAGGTTCCTCGAAAACATCAGTTGCGGACGCGACGACGACGACGACGACGACGACGACGACGACGACGACGACGACGACGACGACGACGACGACGACGAGACGCTTCTGATGTTTTTCGGGGAACGTCGATGTCGTGAGGATCAGTACCTCAAGAAAGATTTCAGGGTTGAGCGCGAATACATCAGCGGCGAGTCAGTCTTCGGGATAGTCGGCACCTGCACGTACGCTCACTACGAGGATCAGGAGATCAGCATCATGGACGACAGTATGAGCATCCAGCGCGTGCCACTCAGCGCGTGCTTACAGATGACTCAGAGCGTTCAGAAGCCGAAGCCTCTTATGACGTTTGAGCACACCAGCGGACAGACCAAGCGTCAGATGCTCGGTCGGCTCGGCATGACCAGCCCGGATTCAGCTGCTCCAATAGAATTCAAGAAGACTTCTGCGCTCGTAGAGGGTCAGACCATCCAGCTGTGGTCAGTTCTTGTGGAGAACACTTTCTCTCAGGCGAGCTTCTTCACCTGGTCGCCAGACAGCTTGTACGTGTATTTCCACAGGCTTCTTCACGAGCAGGACGATGAGGGGTGCAGACTCCAGGCCGAGGCCTTCAAGAGATCCGTCAGCCGGTACGAGAAGGTCTTCTTTCCAGTTCAGTGTCCTGAGGGCGAGGAGTCGCACGAGGGAGGCCATTGGACTCTCCTCGTCATCGAAGCGATGGAGAACGGCGTCAGGCTGGAGGAGCCTCGGATCAGGTACTACGAGACCATGTCGAAGGTCAATGAGGTGTGTCAGGAGAGAGCGCGGCTCCTCCTTCAGACGATCTTTCCAGATTTGAGCGGGAACGCACTCGTCAGTGCGCTCACGAGGCATCAGATATTCAGGCAAGCAGGAACGGATTGCGGATACTGGGTCATGCACTACCTTGAGCTGGAGGTCAGGAGGCTGTCAGGGGAGGGCGGCGCCCCGATCACGACGCCTAAGGTCAGAAAGAAGGCCATGATCGGTAAGTGTGTCAGCGCGGTGAAGCAACTCGAAAAAACGAGAGTCAGCTGGGTTTCAGACGCTAAGCTTGAGGAGGCGAAGCGCGCGGCTGCCCAGGCACTCCTTCAGGCGAAGACTACGAAGGCGCAGACAGATGAGAAAGAGGCCCAGGAGCTCAGGAACAGAGCTGAGCAGGCGGCGCTCGTCAGCATCTGGTGCAAGACGCTCCCCGACGCCATCCCCGACGACCCGAAGGAGGTGAGGAGGAGGCTGAGGGCGGAAGAGAACCAGAAATTGAAGCAGGAGGTCAAGGACGCCGTCAGGAAGATCATGGAGAATCAGGTCCATGAGGCGGCGGCTAAATCTTCCAAGCCAGCTGGTCAGGGAGGCGCTCAGAAGGAGGCGGGCAAGGAGGCGCCTGAGGCTCAGGCCAAGGCCGCTGCTCAGGCGGAGGCTCAGGCCAAGGCCTCTGCGCAGGCGGAGGCTCAGGAGCAGACCGCTGCTGAGGGCGAGGCGCAGGTCAAGGCAGCTGCTCAGGCGGAGGCTCAGGCAGAGGCCGCTGCTGAGGCCGAGGCGCAGGGCAAGGCAGCTGCTCAGGCGGAGGCCGAGGCCGAGGCCGCTGGAGAGGCTGAGACGGAGGCTCAACCCGAGGCTGCTGCTGAGGCGGGAGCTCAGGCCAAGACCGCTGCTGAGGCGGAGGCTCAGGAGCAGACCGCTGCTGAGGGCGAGGCGCAGGTCAAGGCAGCTGCTCAGGCGGAGGCTCAGGCAGAGGCCGCTGCTGAGGCCGAGGCGCAGGTCAAGGCAGCTGCTCAGGCGGAGGCCGAGGCCGAGGCCGCTGGAGAGGCTGAGACGGAGGCTCAACCCGAGGCTGCTGCTGAGGCGGGAGCTCAGGCCAAGACCGCTGCTGAGGCGGAGGCTCAGGCTCAGGCCCATGCCGCGGCTGCTGAGGCGATGGCTCAGAAGGAAGCCCAGGAACAGCTGGCAGCGTCGGAGCCTAAGGAGAAGGGACAGAAGGGCTTCGAGAAATGGCTCAGGAGCTTGCCGTTGCCAGTTCTTCAGGCAGCGTTCGACCAGATCCAGTTCAGCAACTTGAACAAGGACGAGTGTGTGGCGTACGTCAGCCACGTGAAGATGAT